GTTTGGCTCTCGATGATTAAAACCAAAATCATCACATTTGAGATAGGGCGGATAGGCGGGGCTTATATTTTGCCTTGTTTTCTAAAATGTGTAGTCACCTTTTCACAACAGGAAACTTAAAACGTGCTTAAAATGATAAATTCTTGTAGAAACAATGGATTTTGCAGTTCAGCCCCGCCTCTCGATCTGGTAACGAATGAAAAACTCATCACAATTGAGAATTACGATCGGGGCGGTTATGGGTGGGACCTAATCTTTGGCTTTATTATTTTTTTCGTTATATACATAGTATTCTTTCAACAACACGATACTCTCTTGGAGAAATAAGGATTTTGCAGTCAATTTCCGCCTTCTCGGCTCACGACGAATAAAAAAAATCATCCGAAATGCGATCGGGTGGGTGGGCGGGGCTTATATTTTGCCTTTTTTTTCTTAATATACGTAGCCACCTTTTCACAACAAGAAACTTAAAACACGGTTCAAATGATATATTCTTGCAAGGAAATATGGATATTCTTTATAAAAATTTTCCATTTTAAACATGTTTTAAGTTTCATGTTATGAAAAGAAGTCTACACATACTAAAACAAAAACACAAATTGGTTGAATTTTGCGACCATTTACTTCCCTGTGTTTATAACCAATTGACTTAAGAATTTAGTATAATGTGGTTCGCCACCCTTTAAATTCCAATTGTTCCCTAGAATATGCCACAAGAGTATCTACAGTGAAATATTGTTTTTTTTTCATTAAGTTGCCAAATTTGTTGTTGCAGGTCTTTCCGAAACATATAATTTGTAAATAAATCCGTTGCTTTTCGCTTGCCAGATAGTGATGTTTTTAAATTTTGGTCCCCTGTTGATAAAATTTTCGCCACAGTTGAGAAAAAAAAAATTAAAAAATATTTTACAGTGTATTTTTACATTACAGAAAATATGTTCGAGACCCTCATAGCTACTAAAGAAAGATCAGGCCTGTCTTTTCGAAACTGCAAAAAACATCTTTTTATTGCAATTTTTTGTTGCAGTAAAACTATTTTAGGCATTTTCTTTTTAAATAATGTCGCAATGATCTGTGAATCTGTCACAATGACAAATTATCTATACTGACAAAATTAAAACACTTGTTTGCTTGGTTAAAAAATTGCGTCTAATAATTCTGATCTTATAATAACTGAAGTAGAAAAGTGGCAATCTAGCTCAAAGCAAAAGTCAATCAGACTACTGACAGACAAAAAATGAAATCATCAAATCAGTTTATCCAACTTAAAGAAAAAATATCAAAGCCTACTTTCCTATAAAAAGATCGTGAATGGCTAATAGTCTTAGTATTTACCAAAATTTCAAATAAGTCGATTTTGTTCTTACTAAAATAAAAACTTGATTGTAAAAATGTGTTTTATTGTGACCACTCCCACAAAAATAGTTTTTCAAAATGTAAAAAAGAGTATTTTAATCCAAAGCCAATAATCTAACTGTCAGATGTGAATTTTAGTTCCTTTCAATTTTATTTTTCGCTTCGCTTGTTTTGCTTTTGAGTATAAAATCTTTATTTATTATTAACGTTGTAATTTTTTGTTACCTTTAAAAAAATACCTGTTTAGAACTGTTCGAAGTGGAAGAAAATAAAAAAAAAAAAATACGTTTTACAAAATTTTATTTCTACTTTAACAAGCTACAATCTACATACATATTAATTTTATATACAACAACTTTATTTAGAACTGTTACTGTAGTGTTGTCAACTTTCAGCCGAACACTTTAAGGCATCTTTTTTCGAAAATTCTTAACCTGGAAAAAATATACATGAAATCTTATCCCGAAACTCAGCCGAAATTAACTTACTCGTTTTGTCCGAGTGACAAAATTCTCACGGCAACATTTCTTAGAATAAGGAAGACCAAATCTTTCTGCCCGCAATCTCAAGCGCTAGAATAATTGTAAGTATTAAAAATACTTCTTAAATTTTATTTTATCGCCTTACCTCTCTATCAGTACCCAGTCCAGTCGCCTTTAGAACAATTTTTTTCTCAAATGGGCTTTGCTAAAATCAGAGTTCAAGTCATTAAGGAAAATCCAGCTACTGATAAATTAATTTAACTTACCACATTTAAATGAGGAACTAAGTTCGGCGATGTCCCAAATTTTTTCACTCTCATTTGCAAGCGCTGAAAATTTACTTTGAGAAAGGATCCTCTCATTTTGTTGATAACTTACTTCTTCCATCGTAAACGACGATATTTTAATAATTTTCTTTCGCACTGTAATGATTTCTGATTCATCATTCTTTTCTATTGACGTCTCCTCTGTTTGGACGTTGGGAACGACTGCGTTCTCTATTTCCAGGCGTATTTCTTCATTTGTATGTTCAATAGGCACCAGCCTGTGATCCTCATTGCAAGAGTTGGCGAAAGAAACCGTCGAACTTATCGCAGCTTCTTCGTCTACTGATACGTCCTAAAAGTACAGAATAATTTACCAAAACAAGTTAATTCATAAGTATTTAGTTAAATAATTTCTAACTTATTATTACGACCTACCTCAAGTAATGACTCTTCATCTAAACAAGCAAAAAGAGTTCCTTCAAGATCATCTGCTGATACCGGGGATGTAACTAGTTTAAATTCCGTTAAATATGCATTTCCTTCACCTTCCATTTTTACGTTTTCACAACTTCAAAAATTTACACTACGGGCACAAATCGGTCAGACACGAACACAGGACGAGCAAAACTGGAAATGACAAAAGCGAACAAAATTTTGCTTATATAGACTCAACCATCAAACCCCTTCCTTAAAATTTTGTTATCTTGCCTGGATGGCTAATAATTACCATGGTCATAAATCCATCGTCAATAGACTTACAAAGACAGGTAGAAAGAAAGAACGATCATCAACTCATATCTCGTTACAATGGTACCTGGGTTGACCTAATCCCTCACTTTAACTCCGGTCTCGACTGATAAGGACACTTATTGTAAACTTTTAAATTTTAGTTGTCTTTTTATGAATTCAAATTTTAATACCCATGCAGGTGGAAACCAATGTGAAACTAAATAAATCAGAAAGTAGACGTGTGATGAAGAAGTTGCACTGACACGTTTTGATATAAGTTACTTTTTTTAATCACGGCAGCTTTCAAAATTAGGGCTGCCACTAAACTTACCAGGATATAAACCTATAAACAGAAAGATTTCATCGAAAATATTCATTACAATATTATTAATATTTGTGTTTATTTTATTATCCATTTTTAATGATCGTCGCAATTTTATTTGTTGTCAGTTATTTCTGACAGTAATATTTTAATAGAGGTAGTTAAACATGTCGGCGTAAAACGATTTATGATTATTTTTTCACATATAGAATAAACACAGAGTAAATATTTTTTGTATTATTTGATATAATTTGTTCTGGATATACTTTGAAAATATACACTGCAAAAACTATTTCCCAATATGAATTATTCAATAGTGAAAACAAATTATGTTGCTGTGGAGTTTCCCTAGCTTAATTAATTCCACTAGTTTTATTAAGTAAGCAGTACAACACTAAAGGAAATTATTCTAACATCAAATTAATTCAAACTTGTTTACAAATTTAAGTTAACATTTTTACATGTTTGGACAAACCGTTTCAAACTAAAACTAGAATCCGCCAAATAGTTAACATTGAATTTTTGTTTCCAAAATTGCTTACTAGAAGCCCTTGATTATATCGTAATTTTAATAATGATTGTAGAAAACATTTACCTGCTTTGAGATTGCTTCTCTGAAAGGTAAAATGTGTTTATGTACATATCATTTATAGATCTTTGTTCCTTCCAGGAAAGCAATGGCGGACTTTACCTTACCCTTTTCAAACGTAAAGGTTCTTTCTATTGAAGGTGATTACCAGAGATTAAGTGATTAAATATGATAATTTCGTGGAAAATGAACATTGCACAGTCTATTTTTCGAACACCTATCTTCAATAAAGCTTTGCTTAACTGAGGCAGTGTTTATTCTTTTCTAACATGCTATCACATTTTTTAAAGATTTTTAAGTCGTGTTTTCTTTTTGATTTACTTAAATTGTTCTTCAAAATTGTCATTACTCTCATTACTCTCATTACTCTCTCATTTCTTACATCTAACTGCCCATTTAAAGAAATTTTGATTTTTTTATCTTTTGCAAGGCGAATTCAAAAATAATTAGTTTTTTTACAAATCTGTCAGAAAGCCTCACTTTATAAATTTGATTTCTTTCTGATAACCGGACTAAATATAGTTCTTTAATACGTAAAATGGTCTATGTCAGTCCTCCCGATTCCTAATGAATTATCCCGGCAAGTGCAAGTGTTGCGGCTCGCATTTCTCTTCTTCCGGATTTATTGCCAGCATCCAGTGATCCGCTCAATATTGCTAAAAAACACGCGTACATCCGTCCAAACGTCAGTCCATTTCGCAAATTCGTTCGACGTTTCCGCCAAAACATCCGTCTCGCTTTTTTTATGAACTGTAAAATAAGCGGGTAGAACACCAACTACGACCACTCGCATCCAAATTTACATGATGGGATAAAAGTAATTTAATCATATACTCAGGACGGTTGGAGAGCGGAGATATAAAAAAAGTTCATCCAATTACGATTTCGTTTCGATATTCACCGCCCATGGGGGCCAAGACTCGTCTCATATTTTTTTCCAGCGGACAGATGCGGCGTGATACTACAAGATGGAGATTTATTGATATTAAGGGACTTATTATTTTGTACGAGCGCTCAGATTCGACGGATTGGGCGAAAATGAGGCGGGGTTAATTTCGGGGGTGGGGCGGGAAATCGAGCACGGTCGGGGGTGATCGGCATAATGTATTTTTTAACGTTTAAAGGTTGATGAGTTTGACGAAATTAGGGGGATGAAACAAATTACAGAAAAAAAAGTTTCGAAAAAGGAAAAACGAATATTACGTTCTAAAACAATGTATTGCGATATTTTTTTACAAACGTACGTAAATAATAATAAAATTTATTGCACGGCCTGTGACATTACGAGCGTTTCGCCTTTGGAAATGTCTTCCTCAAACCATCTTTCTTCATACTCAAATCCACAACCTGTAGTAGTTTAGATAACTATTAAAAACGACCTATCTATTTAAATGTTGTTTTCAACTTTTACCTCATCTGAGTGCTCTTCTAACTCATAGGCTTTGCGCTTTGGCGTTTTATTTAAAACAAGAGGACCGGGAGTATTTTTATTCGCATCGTCTGCCTGCAATCAAGAATCGAATAATTACCTATTTTTGAGTTTATTACTACTATTATAATAATAATTAAAAAATATGTATTTGTTTAAATGTAGTCTTACCTCGACCGGCTTGTCACCTATTTTTGTATTTGGCGCTTCTGCCCCCATATTTGACATATTTTCCAGTACCAAAATGAAATGGTTCAATCACAAACTAACAACACGTGAACTCACCCACGTTAAAACTGGAAATTCTTTAAATGAACAATGGTATTCTCAAAGAATATTTACATAAATGAACCTAACCTCAAAAAATCTAAGTGTTACGCCTACCATAGACAAAGACAGAACCAGTAGCGGCTCGTGACCTTTTGAAATGGGGGGACACAATTTGATTGATGAGTTCATTATGAGGATATAAAACAGGTTGTTATTACCAATTGATAGACGAAATTGTGTGACTGAAATAAATACAAAAATACATTCAACAAAAGTAAAAAAGTTTTTGTGCACATAACTTTGGTTTTAAATAATTACTGAGGAGACACATCCACAAAAATTTCCCATACTATTAAAATATCTATGGCTCTCCCTAAAATCAATGGAATTTTTGTCATCCTGCCTTTTTGAGCAAATTTTATTTTACCACAGGTGTTCAAACACATTTTGTGGCTACTCCGAAAATTTCTACCATTTTTCCAGAATCGCTAAACGAAATATTTGGAAAATTTTAAAAATGGCCAAAAAACATTTCTCTGGTCATTTCGACCTCCAGAATTTTTTTATTTTTTATCCTGAATTCTCCAAAATGAAAAATAGCAATTTTTGGGACATTTATTTTAAATATTCGAATAGAGGAAATAAATCTCACGTACTAAAAAAATTTATTACTACACCATAATTTTTTACAGATCTACAAATATACACAATGTATGTCTTAAAAAATTCGCCTAGTCTTGTCGAATGGGATCGTTTGGCCTGCGACGAATATAGCATTTCTCCTTTTCTGGTTTCTTGTTCAAAACAGCTGTTTCCGTACCCATTGGCAAAGTCTGAAATAACATTAACTATTAAAAAAATCTCTAAAAATGATTTTCGATTCTTACCTCATGTGTGTCCTCGTTTAATTCAGAAGTTTTGCGCTTTCGCGCTTTATAAGAAAGAACCTGTTTGGGTGTAATTCCAGGTCGATATGTTACCTAAAAATAAAAATCGAATAATTATTTCAGATTCTATTTCAAAATATTGACAAATTATTTTAACTTACCGCTTTATTTTTTGCAATATCTAAGTGATAAAGCCCTGATTGATTAAGCACTGGATCTAAATAAGAACTACTAGAAGTGTCCATGCTTCCATGGCCGTATTCTCTAAATTGTAAAGCCTAAAAATGCAAAATTATGAAATATGCGCTCCACGAGATTTTCAACAAAATTGTTCGAGTTATTTAAACAATTAAAAATAATTTATAAAGAGATACTTATTTAAATCAAGTCTTACCTCGAGAGCCTCGTTGAAAATTCTTGCGTGTTCTGGTTCTGATGACATGCTTTCCTTACTGTCTCGAAACTGGAAATGAACGTGAGAACAAAATTTTCGTCTTAAATACCCTCAACCCAGGTAGAACTCAACACCATTAGTTGCCCTAAATATAATCCGCATATACTTGAAATACTGAAAATACTTAAGAAACGTAGCTAATAATTTGAAATATTGGAGATTAATAATTTCAAGTATTTAACAGACCCTATTTTGAGATGTGAAAACTTCGTAAAAAGAGACTAAAGTATTTGAAGTATCCCCTTTCATACTTCAAGTATTTCGAGATATGAAAAGTATTTAAAATACTGAGTGAACTACTTGACAAAATCAAGTACTAAACCCAAGCACCTTTTACAAATACTCCAAGTACCAAATACCAAGTACCTAAATATAAAAGTACTTTTACTTCATGTACTGAACATTTCTGATTGAGTTTTTTTTTAATATATCTAGACTTATTTCGGTTACAAGAAACTTAAAACATGTCTAAACTGGTAAATTTTTGTAGTAATCAACTTAAATCCTCCACTGGGCAACTTGACAACGGAGTTTATAAATGAAAGTTTTCAGCTCTAAAAGCAACGTCAACGGGAACAGCAACCGCAAAGGGAACTTTAACGTAAACAGCCGGTTTATAACTCCCACTTAATGACGGAGTAGAGCGAGTTTAAAAAGAATCAATGGGATGTTTGTTTTCCTGACTTTATGAGCAAATTTATATTTACCTTCTGAGTGTACTTAGTTCCATGGTGCCTCTTCAGGTAAAGGGAGTTATCTTGAAAAATAAATGGTTTAAAAGGTGTATGGGGTTTTGTAAGAAGATTTACAAACAATCTATTCAAATATAGAGTATAGCGTGTTTCGACTGGCCAGCACGTCGCCCGGATATGAATCCTATAGAGCATCTGTGGGATGAACTTAAACGAAGAATTAGTGATAGGATCCCGGCTCTTGGGTCACTCCAAGAGCACTCTGAATAGCCATTGAAGAAGAATTGGCTAATATCCTGCAAGAAGTTGTCGTCACCTTAATTATTCACTTCATGAATAGACGAATGAGAGCGGTTATTAGAACTAGGGGTAGCAACACCGAATATTAACATCATTTTCATTTTTAAATTGTTGATTTTGTTAACATAAAAAAATTCGTTATTGAACAATTTGCTTTTTGCCCAAAAAAGGATATTGCAAAACAATTTCATGAAGTTTTGCGTAACTCGGTTTTAAAGACAAACATCTGGTCTTTCTAATGGCTTTTTTAGTTTCTTTAAGTGTAATACAGTTCGGTGGAAAATTTGATTCAAAGTCAAATGTAAATAATGGCCCGATTTCAATGCTCGACAGTGTATTACAAACAAAACGTAAGAAGAAAGAGGCAGACACAAAGTTGTAAACTTTTTTTTCCAGGTATGCCTTCCCTTAACAGTTAACGATCTAGTTGTGGTTGAATTATAAACGTCTCATTAGTCAACAAAGAAAACAGTTAATGTTGCTTTACCACAGGTGTTCAAACAACTTTTGTGGCTACTTCGAAAATTTCTACCATTTTTCCAGAATCGCTAAACGAGATATTTGGAACATTTTACTTTGAGGTCATCAACACCTTATGTATTTTGAATTTCAAAGTTTTTTGTTAAACTTTAGGCAATTCACCAAGAAGCTCACTTTTCAAGTATGGAATTTTTGGCATTTTTCTGATCACCTTCAAAAATGGCCAAAAAACATTCCTCTGGTCATTTCGACCTCCAGAAATTTTTTGACTTCATTCCTTCAAAAATATCTACCATTTTTCCAGAATTCTCCAAAATGAAACTTAGCAGTTTTGGGACACTTATTCTAAATATTCGAATACAGGAAATAAATCTCACGTTCTAAAAAGATTTATTACTACACAATCATTTTTACAGATTTACAAATATACACAATCTATGGCTTAAAAAATTCGCCTAGTCTTGTCAAATGGGATCGTTTGGCCTGCGACGAATATAGCATTTCTCCTTTTCCTGTTTCTTTTTCAAAATAGCTATTTCCATACCCATTGGCAAAGTCTGAAATAACTTTAACTATTAAAAAAATCTCCAAAAATGATTTTCAATTTTTACCTCATGTATGTCCTCGTCTAATTCAGAGGCTTTGCGCTTTTGCGATTTATGAGAAAGAACCTGTTGGCGTGTAATTTCTGCTCCATATTTTACCTAAAAAGAAAAATCGCATAATTATTTGAGATTCTATTTCATAATATTGACAAGTTATTTTTACTTACCGCTTCATTTCTTGCTATAGCTAACTGATAGAGCACTGTTTGATTGCCCACTGGACCTAAACAAGAACTACTAGGAGTGTCCATGCTTCCATGGGTGTATCCCACAAGTTGTTGTAAAGCCTAAAAATGCAAAATTAAGAAATATGCGCTCCACTTGATTTTCTACAAAATTGTTCGAGTTAATAAAGAATTAAAAATAATTTAAGAAGAGCTACTTATGTAAATCAAGTCTTACCTCGAGAGCTTCTTTGAAAATTCTTGCGTCTTGTTCTTCTGACCAGATGCTTTTCTTACTGTCTCGAAACTGGAAATAAATCTGAGAACAAAATTTTCGTCTTAAATACCCTCAGCCCAGGTAGAACTACACACCATTGGTTGCCCTAAATTCAAACAGCAACCCTTCCTAAAATCCACCTGAGCTGAGATAAGTGTACAAAGGATTCCAGAATTTTCTAAAGTAATTTTAGAAACATGGTGAATTTTTCATAAAAATTTAAGAATAAAAAAATCCTGTTCGTCTATCAAACTTGTGTTAGACAGAGTGTTGTACGTTTGTCCCGATTGCGATTATGGATTGAAATAATCTTTGGTTGGAAACTTGAGTTTACTGGACGTACGCAAAATATACATTGAAAATTAAACAATGAATTTTTAGTAATAGTAAAAACGTACATTCTTAATCTACCTTGGATTAGTAATATTAACAATATTATATAACTCCAGATCTACCAATTTCAGACGTAATAATCGATACAATAGCATTTATTCTTCCCAACGACTCGTATAAGTTCGACATAAAGCATAAAGATCAGATCCTTTCACCCATCGTCCTCGTTAAAATTAAATCGAATAATAAATAGAATAAAATTGAACGTTGTTAAACCTCTTTCTCTCCATTATTACCCAACACCAGAACAACTACACTACATTAACAGTAGTCACATGTCCGTAGTTAGCCAGTTACAAAGGAAAATCATCAATTTTATGGGGCATTATGTGTCGTGGACAGTGCGTCTGAAAAGGCACATAATGGTGTGTTTTAACGTGGAGTTCTTTTATCCGAATGGAAAATTGGGCCGGAACCATCACCATCAATTCAAAAGGTGAATATGTCCTGTCACACACGCTCCAATACGCTTGATTGGGGAGTATTTTAAAAACAAACCCGAAAAGGGCAAGGGTGCGAAGATCGCTTAAGTTAATGACACGGTTTATTACGATGTACGCCCTCGCGTATCACTTTTCGTGCCATTTACAATTATTGCGCGGAAGGAGGTTTATAAATATGGCAAAGCAGAAATAATTTTATTTAAGGGATTTCAGGATCCGACTGAGCCTCTAGGAGTCTTTTTAGAAAGTTGAAAGGGAGAAAGACATTAAATTTCAATTAGTTTAATCCGTCCATTGATCAGGAGGAAAACCTTTGCGCTTTTTAATTAAAAATTAATTCAATAAA